AGTCTAATATTTGGCGTCAAGATTCTCCAGCAATGGACTGACTGAGGAGATCCGAGGACAAGGGCTGCATCGATTTCAGGCAAGTAGTCTATTCAAGTGAACTATATTTGGGATTAAAAAGAAGTTGTCAATTAGAATTTGTACCTTGCAATGTTACGAGTTTTTTTCAGATGTAACGAAATATGTTCCGCCATTTGTATTTTAGTAGACTTCCGCTTAACTTCTTTACTAGATCTTTCAATTTCAGGTGATGGAAGGAGGTTGCGGGGCATCCACACAAAAACCACAGACAGCGTGACTCAGTGCTTTTCTGGCCTAGGATGACGCTACGAGCAAACGGACTCGCCCACCGATATCGATTCCTCCGTGCCGTAATTCTCTGCTGTAAGTATCTGAACGCGCCGCGCATCCGTCACCTGTATTCTTCACTGGCCTCCGATGCTGCCTACCGTTTCTTCTTTTACCGTTAATATTATTACTTGCAGTAATTGTAGGTGCTGTGCAGTCTGTTCTAGTGTTGCTAAATTGTGAGGGTTAATGATATAAGGGTTAGGGTTCTTGCAAATAACAAATATAAAAAAGGATTGTGGATTTGTAGATGCAAATGACAATTTTGGCTTGGTAATTACTCTGCCAAACCTGTTGCATTCTTGTGTCGTATTGTGAATGACCGATCACAGCAGTTATTGTTTGTCATCTCATAAATCTCAATCGTATCTTATCACTTGTCATCTCTGATCTGAACACCAATTCAAGCACTTCTTCATCTCCGAGTGAAATAGGAATTATGGGACGCTCCTACAGGGAATCCTGGAGGTATAAATCGAGCCAAGTGTTTCATATCCGAACTTATGAAAAATCTGGACACTAGTTCCCTCAAACAATAATGTAGTCCGGATAAATAGTATATGAAATTTGAACGGAAAATAGATTGAAATGTATTTTAAATCACGAGTAGTCAGCGATGTCCCTGCGATTCTCCGCTACGGAGTATTCATATCAGCATCATCTGAGGCCGGATTGACGAGTGCTCTGGAGTGAAATGGTAGTTAGAAGGGCAGGGAGTCACTGAGATCGACAGCTCTCACCGCGTTTTCTCGCGTTTCCTTCTTGCGTAAGGCTTGAGCAAGGGAACTTCATCCTCTGGCTAGGGAACCTATTATGCCTAAACCACTGCATGCGGAGGTGATGTAGTGGCATGTGGCACACTGTCACCAGCGCGTGGTCCGCGGCTCGAATCCCGATCCATAAAGAGCTTTCGCCAGAAACGTGTGTGCTTGAATACCTCCCATAATGAATTTCGAATTGATGAGTTGTTCCTCCCTTCAGAGTACGGTTCGAATTTGTTTCTCGAATTCTCCAACCTCAACTCGGTTCTTTGGAATGGAAGAGTGTCTTCCAAAAGATATGAGAAGGAGATTAGAGGAACAGCTCAGCCAGATGATCAAGGCCTTCAAAACAGTAGTCATTTCAAGAAAGAACTTTAGGACTCCTTCAGAAATAACACGTCGCTAGGATTTTGGAAAGAGGACAGTATTGCAGAAGGTTTCCGAAACAAAGACGAGCATTCATGATGAGGTTCGACAAACAGTAACAACCTGTTCACCATCCTTGAAATTTTTTTGGTCCGTCACAGTTCTTCATAGTGTTCACTGGAAAAGAAGCTCCTTTTCTGTTCAGATAGGACGAACTCGAGTTTCAGACTCGATAGTTTGACTTGTAGAATACTGACGTAGAACGCCATTTTTTATTCTTATATGCAATTCAAATACAATCTACACTTAAATAAATATTGCTAATAGTATTAGTTCATCAGATGTTGAGCTCAAGTTGGCAGCGTTGTTTAGGAGATTCGGATTTTTCCGCAGATTGGACTGAGTCCTCTGTAAAGAAACGATGGAATTATTCAGAACAAAAAACTAATTCTACAACTCTTACGCCTCTTTTGGCAAAGTTATTATCAATGTGTTATCGTCGTCCTACAATGTCGATTAATTTTTTGACTAGACATGGGTTCAGCCTTATTATGATAGGGTTGAGTAGCGACTGAAATGAGTTACTGTTTTCGTGGGTATGCAGAGATATCCATGAAGTAATTTCATAGATGTACATTTAATGCGATACATGACCCTTCACCTTACTGGGGCCGAGTTGTGACGGTATATAAACTCAAAGATTGTCCCGTGTGTATCCTCGGACGAGTTCCACCGGTACTGTAGAGGCTGCACAGATCACAAACGAACCCATGTAGGAAGTTCAAACAACTTGTCACGACCCATAGCGACAGTGAAAGACAGTTCTGTACAGTTCTGGCTTGATGTAGTCAGCTCTTTGCGCAATTGCATTAACCGAAATCTCGTCCGAATACCCCTTCCATGTTATTTCCTTCATGGTGATCTCGTCCAAACTCTATTTTCTCTACTTTTGAGTAGCCTTATTTTTCTCAAAATCGGAGAATTTTCTCACTTTCTTCACTGCCAATGAACTACTTCCAATCTATACTTCCGCTTCTCGATCAAAAAGGGGTACATCGAAATTATCGTGAACTGTGCCTTTAATGCTACAGTCACTGCAGTGTGTTTTTATCATCAACAGCACTTCGAACACCTGAATTCAAGCAAGAGAATTTATTTCTGTCGAGATTCGACTGCTAAACTAATGGAGCGCTTCTAGCTAGTTTCTCTTACTCGCTAGATTTTCTTCCCCTTTTAAGCCCAACCATAGGACTGTTCTGCGGACAATCGAAAAAAAGCCCTTTCACTCTCAGAAAAGCGCATCATCGCTGTATGTTTAGAACCAGTAAGGATGAGTCTTAGTCTGATACTAGTCTGATACTATAGTTATATTTACCATCTCCCTCTAACTAAAAGAAAATGCTTTATGAACTTTTTTTCTAAAACGGATGCGCTACTGCCCTAGGTCATGAGTCCTAGTTTACGCAAGTGCATCGTCGCTAGTTTTAACACTCCTCCCACATACTTTGATATCACTGAGCTGGCTGTTTTTTTCGCGACGTCATCACATATCTCTCAAGTGATATAAAAAAGACTATCAAATTTGGGGGAGTAAAAATTGAAAATTCTCCAGACCTGGCACCAGCAGCTGCCAAACAATTACAGAGTCGCTGAACAGCTGGTGTATTGAGACCACTCCTGAGCGCACATTGTTTTGTCTGTTGGACGAGTACGTTATCTGGAGGGAGGGCCAGACCACAACTGAAAGCGACAGATTTTCAAGATTCTGGATCATCACTGTGACATATTGATACAGTTAGATACTTACTTCAACTTCTTGAGACAGTTTCCTCCTCCACGATCCATACAGCTCGTGATGCACGACGAGAATTTCTTTCCAGCAACCAAGAATGGCTTTGCTTCCCTCTGGATGCCTAAAGAATCCCTAAGAGCTTATGACATAATTTTGACAAACGACAAGTCCTTGCTACCAAAGTATACTCATATGACTTACCGGATCTGGCAAGCTGTGACTCGATTTCCGCATAGGCTGCGAGTTTCAAAGTTTCTGGATAGCGCTTCGGAACTTTTCCGCCAGGACGTTGTGCACACCTGAAGAGAACGCTGATGCTCTTCTCTACAAGGCACGTTTACAATAAAATGGTTTCTGAAAATTCCTTTAGAATGGACTTGTGTCCTCCAAAGGTAGTGCGTGGGACATTGCCAGGATCTCGGTAGGGCGTTGGCGCCAGAACTGGCTTGGGTGAGAACCATCCAAAAGTGGCCGTGTTAAGACGGTCTGTTGTGGCTGCACCATTCACAGCGACGCATTAGAACGCCGACGAGTATCGCGCTCATTTGGGAGGCACCCAGATGGTTACAGACATGCAATCCCGTATGACCATCTTTCTTATTGCTTTTTTGGAGCCTTATTTTTCTCAAAATCTTCTCCTCTTTTTCTTCGTCATATTTACACTATTCTGCACCATAACTTCCATAATTTCACTCGGCTAGATACCTCAGATTATCGTGAAGTAGGTCTTCGGGATGAAGACTCTATATAGGAGCCAACCCCAGCACAAAAGCTAATTATTTCAGTTCGTGCTACTAGTGGACTCATCTATTTTGAAGGATAAGGATCACTATCGGCCCAAGGAGTTTTCTCATTGGTATGATCCCATTGTTCTCTCCTTCTCTTGTCTTAGAGACTTTCGTCATTTTTCTCTTGTGTAATGAATACTAAGTGAAAAAATCCAAGGCCTATCCTATCTGTACCCTTTAAAAAGGTT